CAATAATAATAATGATAATGATGATGATAATAATAATATTAATATTTTTTTAGTTTAATAATGAAAGTATTAGTTTTGAGAAACAAATTTTGATGGAACTTTGAAAATGAAAAGTTGATTTGTTACGTAATTGCAACTATCACTGAAAAAAATTTAGGAACAGTTAAACTCAAAATTATTATTTTTCGATATTATAAATAAATGAAAATACAAAAATCAACTGATTGGAAATTTATCAAAATGTACTGAAAATTTTTGTATATTTTTTTTTAATTACAAAAAAGAGTACAAGCATAAAAAGGGACAGTAACTAACTCTGTCAACTTTTGTAATAAATTCTTCGTGGAATGAAATCATCACTTTCACATTAGCGAACAGACCAGGTGGATTAGTCTGAAATTCAGTCTTTAGATAGTTTATTTTTTACTGATGTAGAACCTTAGCCATACTGTATAATTACAAAATTAACTGTAAAGTTCTAAATTTTATTCAGAAAATTTTTTATTTCCCCCTTACATTCTTCAGAGTAAATTGAATTCATCTACTTGCACACTACAGTAATAAGCATATCATTATGCTCTCTAGCCAGTAATTAAATTAAGGTCATCAAAAAAAAGGTTGCTCCATAAATAAGAAAAACAAATCATATCATCAAGGCATTAATTACTTTTATCAAAGTACTAGAAAGTATTAAATTTTGCTTAATATCATTTTATAATCTCTATAATCTGACAATAAAACATTAGGTTATGTGTGAGTTACGACTGAAAGGAAGAGCTATCATACTTCTATTGTTTACAATTATTAAATCGATTTCTATAATTGAAATAATTTAATAATTTATATAACTGAGATATTTTAAAAAACTCATTTTTATTACCATTTTTCACTTCAAAAAGTTCCACAACAATTTTTTAATCACTTTGAGAAATTCACTATCAAAACATTGCTTTTCTGCAACTTTGAAATTAGTTAATAAAAATTTTAGTATAACTTTAAATTTAATAATTAATGAAAGCATTAAAATAACTTAACGAATTACTGACGTAAATGGATTTCCAAAAATTTATTCACTATTTATTTATTCATTCACTAATTTATTTTTTCTTCACTTCAAACATCTCAAAAATTCTACAATTTTAAAATGAATTTTAAATTTTTAAACCTTTCCTGAAAAGCACATTCAAGCTGAACACGCTTTAGAAGTGTTTTATAGTTAGCTCATTACGATTTATTTTTTTCAAGCATTTCTTTACGTATACTTTTGCAGTTTTGAGAAAACAAAATGAATAATTGCAATCTAACTGTCTTTTGTGAAAAGCAAATTGAGTTATAAGTTTAAATAAATTAAAATGATTTTTAATGAAAAGAAATTTTGTGGAAAAATTTACAAAAATTGTATAATTTGGCGGTAATTAATTTGCATTAAAAGTAAAAAAAACGAGCAAAATTAAAAAATATCTTATTTGAAACAGTAAAAATAGTGATCAAAAATGTTATCACTGCGCAAATAATTGCTTGCTATAATCAAGCATTATTAGGCTAAAATTAAGTTTCAAATATTAGATTATAAAATATTTTTCACATTTTAAATTTAATATCTGATCAAATCAAAACTGAAAAAAGAAATATTAATTCTTCAACATCGATATGAATTTGTTGAACAATAAATTGACAATATGAACAATAAATTTGATAATTTAATTATTGCTTCCGATTCAAATTTGTTTGTATTTTCTCTACATTTGCAATAATAAAAGTAATTTATAAAACGAAAATGGTACCAAGAAATAGAGCAGTTGAGAGATAAATAAATATGCGCATTAAAATAATAATAAAGATCAAAACTTGTCGAGTATCGAAAATATTAACTTTTATTATTATTATTATTTCGAATTTAGTTATTGAGTTAAAAAGTAAGTCATTTTTAATTCGTAAATTTGAATACAAAAAAAGTATAGTTGTTTTAATGTTTTGAATCCAATCCTGTTTTTTTTACTGCAGACTTTGTTGTGTATACATTGTTACCGTTAATATCGTGGCAACTTAAAAATACTTCTTCTTATTCCTTATTTTGTGCATAAGAAGAGAAAACTAGAATTTAATTCAATTTAATTTAATTTAATTATCAACTAGGAGTGATTGCCCAAAAAATTCTCTCAGAGAACAATTTAAAAGAAGTGATAAAAATTTCCGAGCAAATTTTTTTAATTTGATTTAATGTTATGATTATATAATTGTACAATTTCGCTTTTATCATTATTATTGTTCTATTTTTTCTAATTCTTTTTTTGTCAATTTTTTGCTTTTAAAAAAATTTTGCACAACTGAAATGAAAAACAAATACACACCAGTAAAGTATTTAATAAGTATTATTTTGCTAAATATTATTATCATTAATTTATCTATCATATAATCAATTATACAGAAGTCAGTTTTATCACTGATTCCGGATCTATCTATCATACAATCGATTATACAGAAGTCTGAACTAATTGCGGCCAAAACTTTTTAACAAAAAAGTAATAATTAAATGAAGAAGTGTATTATCTATGAGCGAAAATAACTTTCATAGAATCAAAGTTTTGTCTTTTTTGATTCACACTTATTTTTGTTCCTAAAACAAACTTCAAAAAAGTTATGAAAATAAACTATTTGATTATTTTTGAAGGCAGATGGAAACAAATTAACTTTGGGGCAATTAATTGCGTGGCACTTTACTAATCAGATTACCTTTAAGTTAGTGAGTATTATTTTTGAACTAAATCTCTTTACTCGTCCTCAGTTCAGAACAGACTCTATGCTGATCTGTTGTAAAGTAAAAGTGAATACAAGCTACTGTGATCTGAACCTACTAAACAAGTAGACCTAATACGCTGTAATATAAACTTGTGCTTAAGAATAATTACGAGACATAATTCTGCTGAAATGTTTTGAGTACTCAATGTTGAACATTTTCAAAGTCCTAAAAGATTGTACAAAATTATATTTTATTAGAAAAATTTTTTCGATATGGATGTTAACCAAAGGATAGCAAATCAGCAAAGTACGCAAGTATGAAAAGTGAGATATTTCACTATCACGTGCTCGTAAACTTAGTAATTAATCATATAATATTGGAATACGTGGAAAAATATTGTTGGGCATTTTTAGCGTCGTATTATATTTTTAATGGATAATGTAATTTTTTAACAAGTATCTAAACTCATCGCATTACTACTATATCTGACGTGTCATTGTATTTTTCATTTATTATTATTTCTCTTTCTTATCAAATATAAATTTGTCAAGTAGAGTAAAAAAACAAAAATTATGTGTGATTTTGAAAATTTTTGAAATTTAATTTGAATAAGCCATATACTACTAACAGATCGCGTGACAACGACACCACATTGATCTTTACGGACAGTAATTGACGTTGTTCTTCGTCCAGTATCACGCGATACGCAGCGTTCGTCATTTGAATGTCCTAAGACGTAAATTCGGCCTTGAAAAACGCTTTCCGTTAGAAACACAATTTCAATAGTATTTTCACCACATTCGACTTCAGCTTTGCCTGAAAAGTTTTCTTGTATTACAGAAATAATTATCAAACGAAAATTTTCAGTGTGAAATTTCACTTTAAAACAAACGACAAAAAAATAAATCTGAAAAATTTATTATTCAATCAAAATGCGAAAAAGTTTTATCTGAATGATTACAAAAATACAACTTTAAAAGTAATTATGGAAGTAAATATTAAAGCAAAATTAGCTAACGAAAAAATGAAATAAAAGTGAAGCATTTTTAGTTGAGATTTGCTATAATCACTATCACTTTTATCAAAACTTATCAATTTTGAAGCAAATTCAAATTGATCATAAATTTACGTGAAAATTGTTTTGATGACATTCCACGCAAAATGATAACCTGTTAATAAACATCAACTTTTAATATCCATAACGAGTATTGTCATTAAATTAAGATAAAAAATAAAAGATGTTCGTCTTTTTGAAAACAAAAAAGTATCAAAATTATTCATTGTCAGTTTGATGATAAGGTGAGGTGATGACCTCAATTATAACAACCACACAAATCTTTATTTACTTTTTTTGAGTAAATAAACTCATTAGTAGTTGTAATATTTAAAAACCATGAAAATAACCATACTTTAATTAGTTCAAGTTTTGTTGTTTTCAAGAAAAAAAACTTAATTTCTCTTTTGATCAATTTTTCAAGAATTTTTGGAAAGATTTTTGTGAAAAATTTATGATTCTGATGGAACAGCTCAGTTATTTGAGTTAAATCAAAACTGAATATTTATTCACTTTCAATAATTTTTAAGTTTTTATTTGCATTCAAATTTTTTGATTTATTACAGAAATGATCAAAAATACACTTAATAATATACTAAAGTTAAAATTTATTTCAAAATATTTTTTTAAAAAGTTTATGACTAAATTATTTAAATAAAAAATGTTTATTGTTATATTTGAAGGCTTTTTTCAAAAATTTCACTTTACTATAAATTCTCAAAAAAATTTTTGAACGAAAATTGTCATTTTGTAAAATATTAAAATAATTTTATTTTACTTAAAAAATTTTTGGGAAATAATTAATTTTTTAAACAAAAGCAAAGAAATTCAGCAAAATTTCTTTGAATAAAAAGCGGAAACTTTTCAAAATTGATTTTTGAACAAATTTTTGCAATATTAATTTTATTTTTCATCTCACTGATAAATTTGTTAAGTATTTTAAACCATTCATTACAGTAATAAAATAAAAAAGATTACTTAAACAAATGTATGACTTTGATCACATAATTGATTGAATCATATAATTGATTGATTTTTTTGAAAAATATTTTAAACAGTTCAAAAGTTTGGATCTGAATGGAATACATATTTCTCGCACGCAAGAAATAAAATTCAAAAATTTTGAGAAAGGAAGAATAATTGAATTGAATCAAATTTAACTTTCAGTCTTGAGAACTTGTTTTTGTTGAAGCTTGGTCAGATAATTTGTTTGCTATTTACATTTCCGATATTTTTGTATTTAGGTAATTGGATTGACTACTTTTGAAATTGTTGAAATTGAATTAAAATTGAATTTTATGTAGACATTTTGTAATTCAAAAATTTCTTTTTGAACCATAAATGACCTTATGTGACCTTATGTGATTTTAGTTCATTTTCTTTTTTTTTTTTCAAAATAAATCTGTTCTTTGCTTACTCGTAATTTGTGAAAGTGTTTATAGATCCTGAAATAAATAAAATTGTTTAGTAAGTTGTAGAATTTCAAAATTGTGTTATTAAATGAAACTCCTATTAATATTTTAAAGGCTACTGTAGCCTGAGAAATGGGCTTTGAAAAATTGTTACTGTATTGTTTTGTAAATTTTAAATGCAAATCCGTAGCATTAAATCAATTACAATTAATAAAAAAATAATAAAATGAAATTTAATTTACAATAATTTGAAACTGTAAACTACCAAAATAGCATAACTACGAACTTTCAGTAATACCAAAATCTAAGAAGCAATTTTTAGTGCAATTTATGAAAGGAAATTTTATTTATTTTAAATACGAATTATGATAATCAAAAATCGAAACTTTAATTTGAAAAAGAACAAAAAAATTATTAAAAATCATAATTTTTGAATGACAAGCAATTAAACTATTAGCTATCTGATTTATATTATCATTACAAATATACTCAAATAGCAATACATTATACATTATGATTTGAATTTAAATTTTTATTGGTTGTATATTGAGAAGTATAAGAAGTTTACAATGACAAGAAAATTCACGCATTGAAAATTCAAAACGCTGCTTTCGTGAAAAGCACAATAAATTAGTCGTCCGAATCATATTTGAATTGTATTAAAATTTTTATGGACAAAATTGCAATTCAATTCCGAAGTCAGAAATAGAATTTTTTTAAATTATATGTGCCATCTGAGAAAGAGTAATTAGATTATCACAGTTATGGCAATACTAAACCGATGAGTAAGACTAAATCAAAAAACTAATAATTACAACGTAAAAATGAAAATTAAGCATACAATATGAATAAACTTTTGAATATTTGATTTAAATAGTAAATTTGAGAAGTTGAATAACGTTATCTGCACTAATAGTGTATAAGCCATAAAATAAAAAATAATTACCTATTTGTGAATTTGGTATAGGAATAGATGAAATCCTCAGAATAAGTAATAAAAAAAGCCAGAGGACAAGTTTTAGTCGAATAATATGCATACTTGAAGCAACGTGTTGGGTCATCACCTAATCCACCTTACTGACGTGTTTTGCTCTCGGTGGCGATTTCTTGTACTGTGACAATGTTCCGTTTCCAATACTTTCGCCCTTTTTTCTAATAATCTCTAAGATATTCTAAAGCGATTGATTCGCACCCCCACAATACACTGCTTCACACCCAATGATGTGCCTTTCACTTCCCGAGAAATCCCTCGAGGCAATCAATTATTATTCCCGGCTCTCGATCGGCAAATCACCTTGATCAAAGTTTCTCTCTTATTTCTCTTACAATTTACTGAAAAATTCTTTCAAGACTACACCGGAACTTCATGCTGCAATTATTTTGCTTCTTGAAATAAACTTCTGTAGGAATACAATGAACTTCTGCAAGCTTATTCATTTATTAAGTTTTTAGCCATTGTTTTTCATTTTTAAAATATTTTACCACTTGTAAAATTTCGCTTCAAATATTATTTATGCTATTTTTTTGGTATTTTAGTTTATTCATGGCCTGAAGTTTTGATTATTCTGTTATTAAAATGGCAACTTCTAAAAATAAACTTTTGGTATGCTTAGCACTTAGATTGTTTCAGTAAACATTACTCATTAATTTTTATTTTGTAACTTTGCTTAATATCAATCCCTTAAAAAGCAGTACTAATAATTCATTAGCAAAAAGTTATCTTTTTTTGCATGAAAATAAAGCAAAAATTTTTTGGTATCAATTCTTGAACAATTCATTATACAAAGTGATATATAACAGAAATAATAACAAAATTATAAATTCAACAGAAGACAGTAAAAAAAAAGGTGTAAATAAAAAACAAGTAAAAACAATCGTAACCAAACTGGTTACCTAGATAATTCATATTTTCTTCAAGTGAATTTTGAATAATTAATTAATTAACTGATTAATTATTAATTAAAAATGTGAATAAATTTGTAGAGATGCCTTTTTAAAGGAAAGTCTAGAATTCCAAAAGAACAAAATTAATAAAATAAACATATTAATAAAAAAAACTAAAACAAAATTCGAAAGTAAATAATTACAATAAAAATAGTTATTTCACTCGTTCTAATTTCAAATTCAGTAAATAATTGAATTTTTCCAATTTGGATAAATTATTTTAAAAAAGTAATCCTTTACCTAACCTCTACTTTAAATTTAAAAAACCTTGTTCTTTCGGAAGAAAGTTTATAAAAATTAAAATTTTAATTTATTTACTTTTAATAACAAAAATTTTAACGCTACGAACATTTTGTACCTTTTTAATTAATAAAAAGTATTTTAAAAATTCTTTGAAATATTTTTGATTTTTTTAAGTTATAATTTTTACAAAAATCTTTTTCGATTTTTTAGATTACAAAGTTTATGCTATTTTATACAATTCTCAGACAAAAAAGGATTGTTGTGATCGGTCACTGCAAAAATAAACTTACTCTGAAGTTTTTTTTTCTCTAAAAAGTATAAATTTGAGTTTGAATAGATAGATTATTTTTGTATCTTAAACAATTACTCCAAATTACTTACAATTTTTGATATTTTGTAATAACTTAACATGCAATTATTATTGTAAAAGATGGATTTGAATTGGGTAAATAATACAAATATTTACTTCAGTTAAAGATATTAATTCACCAAAATTGAATGATGACAAGCCCACATTTTGAAAATATATCGCAAATAGATGATATTATCAAAAATTTAATAAAAAATTTTGTAAAATTCAGGAAAACTTTATTTTTCTTTATTATATTTTTACATAATGTAAAGCATATGGAAAATATTTTTCATTATTTCGATTTTTTTTAAATTAAAAAAAGTTTTAAATTTTAGGCTGTGTTAAACACTAACTCATTTAGTCTTTGAAATGAAGCTTTTTTTTTAAATAAAAGTTATTTTCATGAGAAATGGGATAATTATCCTTGTATTTGCTATAATTTATTTTTGAATTCCCATATTTAGTGATTAAAAATGAATTACATTTAATCAAAAGATTAGCTCAAAAATCAGTTTTAATTTAGTTAAAAAGCAGCGGTAATATTTAGTATTAAATATGATTAAATTGATAATAATTACTATTATAATTAATAACTAATTAACTGTTTAAATTTTGTCCACTTTTATACGTTATCGACAAGTACTGATTGCTGAGTTAATTTCATCTTAAAATAATATGCATTTCTGATGCAAATTTTCAAATTTATCTCAAAAGCCTACTTGAGGGCAACCAATGCAGTGCCATCTTCCATGCATTGTCTTGAGATCCTTCAGAGATTAATTTGCATATCAAATTTGAATTTGTGATAAAAAGTTGAAGATAAGAAAAGCACAATTAGTTTTCAAGTATTACTTGTATTATTTTTCACTCAGTTATTTGTTAAACTTACGTTTTTGAATCAAATAATTTGAATTATTTTCATTTTAGCGGAAAATTATTCAATTTATTAATTATTAATACTGAAAAGTAGTAATTTTACATCCAAAAATATAATGTTTTTATAACAATTTGTATTGCTTTACTGCTAATGATTACTTCTATTATTTATTTGTAAATATAATAAAATGTAAAAATGAAGAAGTATTCATCTTCTCTCATATCACAATTTTCTACTTTAAATTTTTGATAAAATATTTAATAAATGTGAAATATCATCGAAAGCAAATCACTCTCCTACACAATTTGTGCATATTATCAACATAGTTTAACAGTACTAAATGTTGTGTTATCCAAAACTGGATTCAAGGTCAATACGGACAACCCCAAAATTGAATTTCTATTAAAAAAAATAAGTCAAAAAATGGATGTCCGTCCATCCATATTCTATTTATTAACAGTCAAATAATTTTTTTATAAACAAACAAAATTCAAAATATTTATGTCAAAGAGATATTACATGATGAATATTGGTGAATTTAAAAAAGCATAAATTATAAGTTAAGTTAACGGTTACTGTTCAATTATACTACTGATGAAGTAGAACAGGTCCTCACGCATACAATGTCGTAAAAGTTGAATCGGAAAATGACTCTAAAATTTTCAGACATTCTAATTTGAATACAGAACTGCTCAAATTTTCCTGCAAAAAATTATTATCCATCTTGGCATGTAAATTACGTTCAGCCAATGACTAAGTAAGGACTTCAATTAAAAATAATTGCTAATTTCTCAAAATATTTCACCAAAATCCCTTATATAAGTTAATAAATTATTTACTCAAATAACATATTTTTACGATAATCTGAAATTTATTAATACTACAATCATTTACTTTTTATTATAAAGTCGTTAAAAAGTAAATTTATTAACTAAACAAAATAAAATATTAAATGTCATTTTTGTTAGCACTTTAATAAATGTTATACCTTGACAATGTGCTATACTATACTTGCCTGACATTAGATTATTATCAGTTTATATGATTGCTGTTAATCTCAAAGTTTGTTTTCAGATAATAGGTAGTGATTTTCCCAAATGTGAAAGTTAAATTAACATACTTATGTCTCTCTCCCAAGAACAAGAAATAGTAGGACTTCTTCAATGCATTAATGTGGAGGTATCACTAATTCCACAGTAAATAATTAATTTTACGGACGAAAATGACATTTTGCTTTTCTTGATGAAAAGAATGAGATATGCTCATATTCTGTCATTATTTTGCTTTCAATGTCAAAATTTTGCTAAAAATGTTACGAGCACCAACTTGATTCAAGAAATATTATGCAGCACAAACCAACCATATCATGCTCGTTACAATGAAATTGAAAACGATTGTAGCGCACCAATCAGGATTCATATTAGCAAGCATAAGAATTCATACTACAAGCGAGGTGTCACATAACGTATACGTACCTTAACACTTCAATGTAAAAATCCGAGTGAGAAAATTATACTCACTTATCATTTTTCTATCAAATAAAATGTAATTATATAATTTCAAAGAGAAACAGACAACTTTCCTTTCTAGATTTTATCTTTGCATCGCATATTGTCTTGTCAAATACTTGTATTCACTGGACATCAAAACAAAATCCACTGACATAAATAATGACCACTAATTTATGGATTTGCATCATTTAAAAATGCTTACATTTCCAGTATTACAAAGATATATGAAATAATGCAAAGTTCTTAGCATGGTATCATTCTCATAGTAATAAAGAGAACTGAGAGCACAAAAAGTATCTTGTACTCTTGGTTTTATTCACAAATAAAAATCTAAAAAACGTACAAAATGCATAAATCCGTACAAGAATCTATTTTAAAAAAATATCCAAAACAGTTTTTATCAAAGCGTCTTCAAAAGCAAATGAAATGTAAAAGATTTTGTTTTGAGATGTTATTGAAATCTGATAACAAATACATTACAACAAAAGAATAAATTACTGAGATACTCAAAATACAGCTTTTAGAAATCTTTTTCTACAGATAAATGTAAGTCGTCACCTCAAAAATGTGCATGAATCAAAGTTTAAATGATTCTCACGTAAATTTTAAAATCAGTTATCTCTAACTGTAAATATGATTGAAAGAATGATGAGCTTTCATTTTTCAACATATACATGTCTGATATCAAAAATCATCTGACAACAAAAAATAAATGTTTATTAAATAAGCAGAATATTGTAGGAAATGCCATATTATGAGGTTTTACATGACTGATTTTCGATTGATTCTGTTTTTCGAGATGATTTCCCACCATGATTTTCGTGCGCTGAAGTAGGTGCTGCTTCATTAAAATCATAGATCGAGTCCTTGAACTTCGCTTCTATTTCTGCTACAAATGAAATTATACATATATAGGCACAACTTCTAAAACACTGCTTGCTCAACATTCTATTGACTGTTCAAAACGTAAAACATGAAAAAAGTAAATTACATTTAAGCAAACAACCTGGTATCGTCGGCGATACAGCTTCTTGCGCAACTTCAACAAATGAAGAATTAATTTTAGGGTGAATCACTGGTGGTTCAATGTAACCTAATCTTCGATTTACGGCTTCTTCACCTTCACCATGCTATAAACAGATGATGCTATTTTGAATCAAAAAACTAATTACAATAAAATTAATCTAGAAAATTTCAAGTTGACAAACAATACGCACACCTGAATACGAATACAGTTTGTATTTGCTTAAATGTGTGTATATTGTCTGTCAAGAATTTTTTGGATATATAAATTTTAAAAAAGATAATACGGTTTTGAATAGAGTTTTTTATAATTCTCGGAATAAATTTAGGACAACTTTCTTATTGAATACCTCAATATTAATTTTGAGAATCAAAACAGTTACTCTTTAGAATAGAATTCTATTAGTAAAAAATTCTAAAAAATCGAATTGAAGTAAGTTAGAAAAAAACCAAAAAATTCTGAAATCTACCAATTCAGTTTCCAGTCTGGCATTTTTGCGCAGAAGATCAAATATTTGCTGCTTTAAACCACTAATCTCGTCATCTGCACTGTCGCATGCTTTTTCCAATCTTTTCTTCTCATTCTCCAAAAGTTTCAACATTCGCTTACTTTCTTCATAATTCGAACTTTGCTCAGACAATAATTCTTTCATCTGAAAGTGTTTGAGAACCAATATGCAGAAGTATTATTAAACAATAACATATGCTATCTGATCATTAAAAAGCTTTACACTACCATTTTCAGTTCTTAAAAAGCAAACATTTTCAAAAAAGGTGTACAAACATCGTAGCCAGTGATTTTTTAATAAGCAAACGAACTTAAAAAGCAAGATTAAATCAAAGTTTAAATACCATAAAAGCGATATATGAAAATTCTTTAATGAAATCAACATACTTTGAATCCAACTTTACAATTCTTACTTTTTCAAAATCGCTCCTTTCTATGTCAAATTTAGAGATAATGTCTTTGAACTCGGTATTTTCAGTAACTAGATTTTGTCTTTCAACTGACAAATTCTCAACATCACGAACTAGTTGAGTAAGTTCACTTTTCATAGAATCTAGTTCTGTGAGAGCAGCTTCATACTTACTTTTCAGCTCTGACTCATCATTTTGCAAATATTCAATCCCATTCTTTAGATTCTGAAATTAAAATTAGTACATTTACAGTAATTAAAGAAAAGGCACTGATAAGAACAAAGAGATTTTTTTTAACCAGGCAGATATGGAAATATTGAACATAAATATGCCTGTATCATTTCTTCATCCATTTCACTCTTTTTTCTAAGTACGTTTTGTTCATTCCGATATTCTATTAATTCGTTGCGCATAGATTCCAATACACTTTTTAAACTAATTTCCAGTGATTTATACGCATCATATTTGCGAGAGTGATCCAACAGCAGAGTGGAAATTGTGTGAATCTTTTCGGCAGCTTGATTCAGATTTTCTATATTATCGTTTATTTTCCCCATTCCTGTTTTCATGTATGCTGATAAATTTTCAATATTTGCGTATGTACGAACTGTATGTCCTTGAAATTCTTTCAGATCCTGAGAACATTTTTCATTTGATTCCTGAAAAAAAACAATCTAAACTACAAAAACTTTTTCAAAATAATTCATCACCTTTGTGTCTTACTTCATTAACCCAGGTGCTGTTGAATACATTAAGTATAAAATTAAGGCATATTTTTTAATAACATTAAGTGATAGCGAATAAAACATTCACTTGCACTCAACATCAAAAATGAAACAAAAAAATTGCACATTTATTTCTTGTCCAATTCTAATACTGCTTCCAATCACACAAAATTTTTGAAGAATATGTACAAGAATGGCTTTAAATAATGAAGGTGGTGAAAAATAACTCCAGATTCAGATAGATGAATAGTGAAGAAGCAAGGACGTACCTGTAAAGAATTAAAAAAACACTTTCTATGATTTGAAAATTCAGCCATAATCAGATTTTCTATATTATTGAGCTTTAGTTTTTCATTTAAGATTAGCGCTTCGTACTTCTTTTTATCTTCTACTGCTTCTTCCATTGTTATTCGTAACTAGAATAATGATTTTTTTTCATTCTTTGAAAACAATGTCTCAAAAATTTAAAGTAGGAATGGTTTAATGTAACAATTGGTTTTTAAATGCTTATTTTTTACAAATATCTCTGAATATCTACCTGTTTAAGATGACCTTCTGCTGCCATTCTGCGCTCAGCAACGACCTGCACTAATAATTCAAACTGTGATGCACCATGAGAAATAATGTCTAATGCTTTCTCAAAATAAGTGAGAGAACTTTCAATGTCCTCCAGGTCCCAGTCACTATTATATTTATCTTTCACATCATTCTTTATTTGTGCTAATAAGGAATTTAGTGTTTCCGTCAAAAACGATTTCTGCTTCAATAACTCTTCTTCTCTTCTATGATTGGATTCATCAATTTTACTTGATAGTTCTGCAATCTTAGCTTCTAGAGAACAAATAGCAGAAGTATGCCCCCTTTCGATTGCTTCAACTCGTGAACTTCTCGCGACATCCAAATTGATAAGAGCTTGCTCAAACTTTGCGAGCAGCTCTTTTCTTTCTTCTGCATCTTTTTGTCGTTCGTTTTCCAATTCTTTGATTTTGATAGCGTTATCTTCCAGCATACGATGAGCTTTTTCAAGCTCTTGCTCCATATGCTCAGTTGTTTGATATTTCTAATAAATATATTTGTATTACAAAGCCACTAAGTAAAATGGTACAATGTTCTCCAAATAAAAAAAGTTTTAACGTAGATGTTTTAATGAGCACTATCAGAACAGGATAATTTATGACCTACTTTAACAAGTGAGATATCTTCGGTGCATGGCTTTGACTTCTCTTCCTTTAATGCCGCCAATGAGACTTCGGAATTAAACAGCTACAAACCACAACTTGTAACTTTCCTCACTTGGAAAATTATTCTACATCACATAGAAACAGAACAAACATGTGGATCCACTAGACAAAATATCAATCACAATTATCATTTTTTTAAATGTTCACCTTTTGTTTCAGCATTATAATTTCTTCATTACTTTTGTTCAAACTTTCTTCAAAAATTAATTTGCGATTTTCAGCATCCTTTTTAGCGAATTCATTTTCCTCGATCAGCTGCTCCTACAAAAGATTAATTCTTCAAACTGAATGAATACGATTTCTGATAGAAAACATTAAGGAATAAAATTTTTGTCTCAAACCAAGGAAACACTTACATTTTCTTTAGTTAACTTTAGCACAGAAGCTACTAGCAGTGAAATCTCACTTTCTTTTTCATTCAAAGAATTTTGCAAATCATCTACACAAAGTTCAGTTTTTTCTCCATTTACTTTTCTTCCCGTCGTATGTGTTAGTCTTTCAAACTTTTCAGATAACATTTCCATATCCATTCGCATTGCATAACAGTTTTCACAGAACGTCGACGTCTCACAAAAATTTTCATTGATAATAAAGGAAAAAACTTCGGTTCGGTCGCGAATATAATCAGCTAATTCGCGCGGTGAAGATAAATCATCAAGCTTTGAATGCCATTTCAAAGTGACTTTTTTCTTAAGAGATGATAGTGTTAGATTTTTTGAATTTCCTGATGCAGTTGAAGCTGTTACCTCCGTTTCTGTCTCCATTTCATTGAGCACTGGTATTATAGAAGAAGTCATTTCTTCCTGTTCTCTTTGAGAAAAGACTGATTCTTCAGCAAATGAAGTACTTATAGAACTTTCATCTTTGATATCACGTATGTCACCATAGAAACCGACATCAGTTATCTGTGAACCCGTCACTGATGTGTCTGATTTTCGTGTATTTACGAAATCTTCAGCTGTTTCAGATGCGAAAGTAATGCTGACAACAGGGTTTTCTTCATCTTGGTTTAGAACATCCACTGCAGAAATATTCTACAAAAAATAAATTAAAAGAGAGCGAGTCACAATAAAAAAATTTTGTCATGCTGTTTTAAATTATATTCTTTCATTCTACTAGAGTATATAATTTATAACTACGTATAGTTTCAGATAAAATGCAGACTCACGTTACTGCCATTTGCCTCAATAATTTCTGAGTGATGAGAAACTGAAGGTTGTGAAGTGGAGTTCAAATAAGCTTCAATTGCTGCTTTCATATCATCAGACATTCCAGGACTCTATAACAAGCTTTATATTTAAAAAAAATCGAATGTATAGACGATCACCAAATTACTCAATCTCTATGAGCTAATGAAAAAGAAATTTATAATTTAACCACATGCTGAACGAAACTTCACTTCAGTAATCAAATTACTGCCATTTTCTTGTCAAAGAACAATAAAAATAAAGATTACTCAGAGTATTATAGTACCAAGTAATAACGAACCATGATTCCATCATTTGCAGAGGTTTCATGTGACAAAACTTGCTCTGTATTTTGCTCAAAACAATCCTCTGAAGAGGAAATCTCGGATTTCTATAATAAACAATTGTAGCTGAAATCAATTTTACACAGACTTAATAATTTCCTTGTTAGAAGCAAAAAAACCATAAACCTCAATAGATGAACACTCCAGCAAAGTTGCATCGATGTTAGGATCAACCTGACTGATCTTAAGATGTGCGAGTGACTTTGGAGTTTCAAACGATCGAAACTGTAATACGTACATAAGAAAACTAAGTAGTACACAATTTCAAATGTTTCATTAAATTTTTCAAAGCTAGCTTGCATTAATGTTTATTTTATAGCTCTAAAAGTGTTTCTTGTGCACAAGAAAAAATAAAATGCAATTTAGAGAAAAATTTAAGAGCAATTAACTTGACCATTTTTTTGGAAGGCGCTCGAATAGAAGGAGACATAGTCACTGATGGACTTTCAACATTTTGTCTTTTCTGAAATATAAAAGTAAAAGCTTTTATTCCATTACGACCGAAGAAAATGCAGTGATTATCAAAATAAATAGACATCTACATGATACTAGATAGTTATAGAAATTAGCAAGTAAGGGATTTATAAAACAGAAATGTTCCAACTACTGCAACATAGACGTAATAATGCTGAAAAATATTCCCTTTCTTTCTTTGTACTTTCTGAATCAGCAATAATTTCACAGCATATCTTACTTGAGTTTCCTTATGCTCGTTATGATCCGAAGACATGGTAAACTGCAGGTACACTGAAGCAATGAAAGAGTATATCACACCAACTGGACCTTGCAGATATTGGTAGAAATATTTCTAAATAAAAAAATCGATACGAAGTCTCTCTATGCATACAAAAATATATATTAAACAAGATATTAAAAAATCACATGAGTTACAGAAATATTAAGATATTAACAAAACATTTATATCAAAATGTCATAGTTCAAATTAATTCAGTAGTCTATCAGTCACTATCATAGCGTTTACAAAGTAATGGCTGCCCAATTACAAATGTACTATGAAAGGGCTACTACTACTACTACTACTACTACAGCAATTACTACAGTCCTTCTAGTCAATTCTTAAATTACTACATTTACGTGTTCACACAAAAAGTTTGAATGTAGTGAAAATGGCAAAACTTTAAAATTCTTTACAAGAAAACGAAAGTTTAGAAATAGCACCAGACGACAGACAACACACATAGCGGAGTACTCAACAACATTACAGAAGTCGGAAACGATGCACTTATATACATACATTTTGGCCTGTTAATTTACATTGTAAGTTTTTTGCATAAGTCCAACATTTATGCATAATGAATCAAATGTAAAATACGTGTGCTTAATTTGCTTTCTTTATAAACATAACCTGAATTTACGTGATGCGATGTTACTTGCAAGAAGGTCCGCAATTTTTGAAATAGCATTCTTCCCCTCGCGTGATTCAAAATCAAAGAATCTCCCGCTGCAATCGATCACAGGCTTTGTTGACAGAGCAAATACTCTCTCTAATCGATCTCTGTTTCTTCAAATAGCGTTCTCTTACAATTTGACTATCCCTGACTCTCTTCAAATTTCGTGCTTTACCTTTATTTTAAAAAGTACTTTAGCTACTCATCTCTCAGCCTATTTTAACCTTATTTCACGTCGTTGGTGCCTGCTTTGCTTAGTTTGTACTGGCATTTTTTTTGTATTTATTTTATATGATTGATTATGTTCGAGTTATTGGTGCTATTTATAATGTTATTTCATTTGCACATTATGTTTTATCGTTCACACTTTGGTGAGTTAATTTAGCTTTTAAACGTTAAATTCTGCAATGAAGTTGCTAGAGAATGCAGAACTTGAGCGAATTTCATTTATGTTTAAAGAATACGCCAAAGATTGCGAGATTGAAGTCAGGTTCGTTTCTAGTAAACAGTATAAATTAGGTACCTTTCTTATTTAGAAAGATCTTAGATACTGTTAACTAATGAAATTGAAACTACTTAACTCCTCAATTATAAGGTCATGAAATTTTGAGAATGAAATGAATGCAGAATTTATGAGTTTGGTTCACTATAGATGCATTTATGTTGAAAATATTTCACAATTAGTTTTAAAATATCTAGCAGTTTCAAGCTCAGTAATATAACTATGCTAGTCTGAAATTGTGAACATTAGATAACAAGTAGCCTTTTGTGCATTATTGCAGTTTTCAGATTAGAACCATATTCATGTAAAATGATTACATCTGAAAAGAAACAGTGGAAGAGAAAAAAGCGAAGTGGTGAAAATGCTCTGCAACCGCTCTCACCACCGGAGAGATTACCTTATTTTTCCTACAGTTCACCACTCGCCGCAAAAAATCAGCACTTGCAAAGTTTTTCAAAATTGGCTTGTTCAGATTCAAGTGATGTTGAAGATGTAACACTTTATTTAAAATATATTAATCAACAAATAAGTAAATTAAATGAACAAATAGTTTATAGTGCCAATTAAAATTTATATCAAATATTATTTTCAAGTATTTTTTTGATTCCTTTTAAATTTCAGACTGGTGTAACGTATGCAGATGCGATTTCATGTCGAACTTTATTTGATTTAAAATCAGTTATGAACGTATCATTTCAAGATTATGATTTTTCATCAACGAACAGCGAAGCTTTCTCTTTAATTCCTGATTTTAAAGTGAGCATTTAATTCATGACATTTGTGGTCTGTGTAACGTGTTACACGAATTTTTTGTATACCTGAAAAGTATGGGGCAAGGTGACATATTTTTTTAAATTTATTTCAGCTGTTTTAAGTTATTTATCAAGTTGTCTTTTGTTTTGAATTTTAAAAATCATTTGTAACCACTATGCTTCATTATTTTTAGTTTCATCATGTTTTTTAAGGTATTATCTGGCTTGATTGACCTGAAACTTTCACCTATTATATCAAATTATTATGACATTAAACAAACTCTTTGGCGAGAAATTGATGAAGTGATTAACATTAACAACTGCAATTTATACAGGTACTTTGTTTGATATTGTTTTTTGCTTTTCAGCTCCATTTAGTCAGTTATTCACAATATATAGCAAAATACTTTGGTCTAGTAAACTTTGAAATAATGACGATCTTACTTCATAGTAGCTTTTGTATGCAAAAGCAAAATTGAGTTTGCAGTGGCACAGTATCGTTTTGAATGTGCTAGAAAATCTGAATTCGTGGAGTGTCTGTAAATAATGGCTGTTTTACAGTTATAAGACAGGTTACACGGGTGATCCGTATAACGAAGATTTGGTGATGTGGTCTTTTGCTTACTTCTTCCATAATCGACGTATGAAACGTATTCTCTTCTTATCGTGTCGTGCGTTTCGTGCTGATCCTGCTCAAAATCGATCAGCTGAAGAGCTATTTGGTGGTAATATAATATAACTTGTAAAAGTTTGGGAGCTTGTGTATGAAAGTTTTTTACCTACCTCTTCGATGGCATCTTGTATATTTTTTTAAGTATTGACGAAGAGTGAAACCGCGATTAATTATTTTAATCTTCCGTCATTGGTTTTTCGAAATGTTATTATTGATCTCGTAATATACAATATTACCTTCTTTTTAAGCTGCTTTCATAAATTTCAACCTCATTACAATGTTTAACTTGTTTCATAGTTCTTCATTATGTAAATAAATTTAAAATGTAATTATCCAATTTATGTATTTGTCCTTCAGTATGGAATTGTCTTATTTAACTTCGGTTTTAATAACTTTCTTGAGAAAGCTAATCTTTACTAAAATGAAATATTATTCTCTCTAAAATAATCTTCTAATCTTCATTTCTTTGTAAAAAAAGTTTCATGGATCTCTTCTTATTGTGATTTTCTTGTCTATTTAATTTTTGCAATTTTTTATACTTTGTAAAGTTTCAGTCCATTATTGCCATTTCCATTATTTGAAGTGCATTTAATTATTTATGGCACATGTGATACTAAAATTGTTTTTTTGCGGAGAGCTTCAAGCTTTTGAGCTTTTGACCTATAAATATCATTACCTTAATTTTTTTTCCTGAATTTTCAGGCCATTACCTTTTCATACGTTAGTTGAAGATTTGGGATTGTTGGAAAATTTGATCATCACTTTTATAAGGTTGTGTGGTAGAAATATTTTTTGGAGATGTAAAACATGTTGTTATAATTTTTTGATTTATTTTTCAAGTCGTTGAATGGCGGATGTACCAGAAGTAGCGGAAATAAAGTACGAATATCTTGATCATACAGCAGATATTCAGTTGCATGGTTGGGGAAAAACATTAGAAGAAGCTGTCGAGCAGACCGTAATTTCCATGTATGGTTACATGACAGAAATTTCGTCGGTGTCCACGGAGTACTCGTTTGATTTGTTTGCTACTGGTATTGATATGATTTCCCTGATAGCTCGGCTTTTAGATGAAGCATTGTATGCTTTCTCAACGGAACCGTTTTTCATTGCCAAAATAGCAAAAATTATCAAACTAGATCGAGAGAAATTCGAGGTACACTTGCGGTGCTGGGGTGAATCGTTCGATCTTAACAAACATCCACAAGGAACCGAAGTCAAAGCAATCACTTATTCCAATATGCAAATCAATGAGTCTTCGGATAAGACAGATATTTATGTTATCATCGATATATAAATTGTAAGCAAAGTATTTGCAAATTTCAAGCAAGTTTCGGAATTTTAGATTGAGAATATACTTTTAAATATGAATTCTAACTAAAAAACGCATCTATTGTGTGCTAAAGTAGAACGTTTTGCTCATTTCAATCATTTATGAATGCTTCCAGTTTTTATTGACATTGTCCAGTCAAAGTTGCAATCTTTCCTTGTGATGGAAACTGTGGATACCTTTACTTGACTTATTGTCCGTTTACTTTTGTATTAGTATAGGCCATGAAATACCATGTGGCTCAAATTGGACCATGAAATACCATGTGGCTTAACGAAATACTATGTGGCTCAACTTGAGCATGTATATCAAGATGTCACTGTAGATAAATTTACACTCATTTGTTCGCTTAATATTATTTGTTATATCCAGTATGCGCAGTTAACTTATGAAATTTAAATTCTTTATGATTATCTTGGTAATTGCATTCAAATATTTGTTGTTTCAAAAAGTTTGACGAGGTTTATTGTATAAGGAAAGCTTTTTCCATTCATCGCTTCTTTCGTTAAAATTTTTGTGTATAATCAATCTGTCGTGTATTTCAGTACGTTTCGGTCTCGTTTTGTAATTTTTTTCCAACTTATGTAATAAATTAAATTTCAGGTTTCATCATGGCAAATGTAGAAAAACGCGTTTTTAAACGTAAGTTGAAAAAATTGCAAGATGCAGCTAAGCCAAAATTGCCAAAAACTGATAAAGAAGATGCAGTAAACGAAAAGGAACTGGTTTGTTCATTTCTTCATGTTATATGAATTACTAAATGTATATCAGTAGGTTAAGATTCAACAATGATTCTCATCTAGCTCGTTTCACACAGTAACATACTTTTTCGAAGAGCTCGTATTTTCTGAAATTAAGCATGCAGCAGTTGTTTATTATTATATTTGAATATTTCAGTGCTCTAGTCATTCTTGCATTCACTTTTTTGCTGCATTATCTCACCCTTCATATGTTGCAGTTTGTATTAATGAATTCCTCTTGTTTTTGGTAATCAACTTGCTGTTAGTTTTGAAACGATTTTATTCTTCATTTGTAGTGATTCTAATAGATTTGCTTTTTGTAGGTGCATCATTTCATCAGCTTTTTATCATTGACTCAAGTTGGATGAAAAATATTTTTGTTTTCAGAAAGAAGAGGAAGCTAAAAAAGAATCAAGAGTAGAATGTAATCCCTCAGTAGATGTGGGATCCTATTTATCTTCAACTACATTTGAATCACTTAGTGGGGTAATTTCAAAAAACACTTTACAAGCGGTGGCTGAGATGGGTTTTAGCAAAATGACAGAAATACAAGCGAGATGTATGAACTATCTGCTAGAGGTGATTTTATATTTTTCAAGTATTTTAAGTGATTGCTATATATTTATATATATAGTAATCATATTTTCTATATATGCGGGCCGTTCGAGTACAGCAAGAGTGGTAAAACACGATTTAACTCAACAATCAAGAAGACGAAAATAGCTTACCCTTCTGCACATAACTATGTATATATGTATGCCTTTGTTTTGATTATCAAGACTTAAATGCTAGGGCCGAGACGTGCTAGCGTCAGCAAAAACTGGAAGTGGTAAAACATTGGCATTTCTCATTCCTGCGGTTGAATTACTCATGAAACTTGAATGGAAAGCTCGCAATGGTACAGGAGTGATCGTTATTTCACCGACGAGGTTGGTCTGAAACTCAAATGCATTATATTCTTTTTATTTATATGACACTTGTCAGATTGGTTTTTCTACCGGAACAAGGACTTTTCATTTCATGTAGCAAAGAAGTGTTAAGTAAAGGGTATTTTAGGGAACTTTCTATGCAAATATATGGAGTTTTAAGTGAACTTTTGGCCAAACATCCGTCATTGACCCATGGCTTAATCATGGGTGGCGCAAATCGTTCTGCTGAAGCATTAAAACTAGGCAAAGGCGTTAGTTTCCTTGTTGCAACGCCTGGTCGGTTGCTCGATCATTTACAGGTTAAACACTGGCCTTTTTTTTGTTTCGTTTTTGTGCTGGTGACTTACTAATTTCGTATTTTATTTTCAGAATACAGATGATTTTATGGTGAAGAATTTAAAGTGTTTAATCATTGATGAGGCAGATCGTATATTGGATATTGGTTTTGAAATTGAAATGCAGCATATTTTACGACTCTTACCCAAGAAACGCCAAACCATGTTTTTCTCAGCAACACGAACACCGAAAGTTTGTATCAAATATTTCATATTTAAAAGCTTTTTTACAGTTTGGAGTTTCTCTTGATTTTATCAAGCAATTAATAGTAATGGAGGTGAATTTATTCGTCCTACCATTAAAATTTGAATGCAGAATGATAATGATGTATTTAGGTTGACGAACTCATCAAAGCTGCTCTGTCTGCAGATCCTGTAAGAATAGATGTCGGTAAAATGAGCTCAAACAATGAAAATGAGTTGGCTACAGTTTCTGGTCTGGAACAGGTCTTGTTTTGAACCGGTCATGGCATATTACCTTATGTGGTTAAGGCTGTTTAGTTACGGAAATTGTAGTACTAGACAAAATTGCACAAGGGCGCTGAATTCAAACAAGTTGAAAATTTAGTTCCTGGAAGGCTAATTTACTACATATAATAATTGGTCATGGAAAATTCTTCAATATTAATATTAGTAGTAAAATGATGCTGATTTCAGGGTTATGTTGTTTGTCCATCTGAAAAGCGATTTCTTCTGCTTTTCACGTTTTTGAAAAAAAATCGAAACAAGAAAGTGATGGTATTTTTTTCTTCCTGCAATTCAGTGAAATATCATCATGAATTGCTAAATTACATCGATATCCCGGTTCAATGCATACATGTAATTTTATCTCTCATCATTCATTGTCAAACTTTATAAGCAGAAATAAAAATCATTGAAGCATACATTTTAATTTTGCACAGTATTTCCGCTTCTGGTATTTTTCTAGGGTAAACAAAAACAACAAAAAAGGACATGCACTTTCTTTTCATTTTGTCAAGCTGCGTCTGGTATTTTACTGTGCACAGATGTAGCTGCTCGAGGTCTTGATATACCTCAAGTTGATTGGATTGTACAGTATGATCCTCCAGATGAGCCACGCGAATATATCCACCGGTTTGACTTCTTTTTAAAGTTGAATCATTGTGAATGAGTTTTTGGTATATTGCTTATGGATTTCGTAAAATAATTACTAAGAGATGTCAACATAATTTCTTTTAAACTGGTAAATGATATTCGTTTCTCAGTGTTGGCCGTACAGCTCGTGGAGCTACTGGTACTGGGCATGCACTCTTAATATTGCGACCTGAAGAACTTGGCTTTCTTCGTTACTTAAAACAGGCAAATGTTGTTCTCAACGAGTACGAATTTTCGTGGAATAAAGTATCAAATATACAATTGCAACTTGAACATCTTGTTGAATCAAATTATTATTTAAATAAATCAGCGAAGGTTTGCATTTTTGCGTTTTTTTTTTTGAATATTTGAAGCTTAGCGTGCTTCAATCAATAACTTAAGATCGATGCTACAAAATATTTTGGAAAAAATTTTCCTAGTTTTTTAGGAAGCATACAAATGCTATGTAAGGGCTTATGACTCTCATTCACTAAAGAGCATTTATGATGTCAATACATTGGATTTGAACACTGTAGCAAAGTCATTCGGATTTTCTGTTCCTCCTTTTGTAGATCTTCCAATATCTAAAAAACCAAAGGTCTGTGCTTATTCTTGAACTTGAAAAAAATTTTTTTTAGGCTTGTAGAAAGTGTACAAAAAATTTTACTTTTTAGAAAGTTTACGGATTCACTCTGTTCAAAAAAATATTTTCTCCATGGATATAATTTGAAATATTTACATGTTATAATTGGCCATGGCCTATGAAAGTTATTTATTTAGTTAAGTTATCGAAGAAAACTAGCTTTGTCTGCATTAGCTATCAGTAGTTGGTGTAAATTATTCTAGATTAGATTTTGGAGTCTGTTGCTTTTTATATCTGCATTGTTTGGCTTTTTGTTTGCTTGCTTGTAATTTTTTTATTTTCTTTCATAACCTGATAATCTGTGGGTTTGGAAAATGACAGTTGAGGTGGCGCTGTGAGTGTTAAAATTTATTATTCAAAGCTATTAAAATATATGATAGTTTGATTAAATTCAGATACTCATAAGATCAAAGCTGAGTGGAGCAGGCTATAGAAAAAGACCGAAGGCATTCAAGCAAATACGCAAACGATGAGATCTAGTTTATATTTTTTTTGTCACTCATTTTCACTGTTGGAATTATCGTTTTGGAACAAAACTACAGTTTTGGTTTTGGGAGTCGTATTCATCTGCGTCAAATATCTTACATTTTCGGTTGACCGGTCAATGTTTTTCATGTTTTCATTGACATTTAATATATTTGAATTCATAAGACCTAATGTAAAGTAGTTTTGGCACGTTTTATTTTTGACCAATCATTTTAACTGAAACCTTGTGAATTCATAGGGAGGAATTGTGAATGACTTTTGTTTAATTTGTAATTACAGAGAAAATCTATTAAATGTGTTCACACCGGAAAAAAATTCACCACAAAAAAGTTTACGTCTTCCAACTGACTAATTATACCATTTCGCACAACAATCAATTTAAAAATGTTCTTTTTCATCTTGTTCACTCTTGATGCCTCTTCAAATTAAGGGATGAAAGTTTCTTAGATATGCATGGTTCTGAACAATCATTTACTATAAAGCAATGGCTAATTACTATTTATTTAAAAGCAAATATGAACTAGAAATTGTGCTGTTGAGTAGTGTAAAAAGCACTGGAAAAGTTCACGTTTTTCAACTCACTGATTATACCTACTCGCACAATAATTAATTTAAAAATGATAGGTTGAAGATCTTACAATAATGAAGAGTCTAGTCAAAATAAAGAATTTTCGGCACTTCGGTCTATTAACATTTGCTCTATACACTGACATAATGGATCATTAATGTACATACCAATACACATCATTTAAACGAAAGTTATAAACAATATTAGATACAAACAGCATTAGTACACGAGATAATGTACAGAATTATGCCCATAAGATGGTCAACGTAGATGGATAACAAGGTTTTAGTTTTTTATAATTAGTGCGGCCAGCATTAGTTGATTTACTAGCTGAGAAGGGTGAAGAATCAAGTACTATTTTACTATGCACTGGCTTCAACAGATTCAATCACCGGTTCTAGTACAGGTCGGAATTTCAATCTTCCATTTGGCTGGCGCCGTTTTTGCTTTTGGTCATTGTACATATTCTCATCATCGTCATCAATTTTCTAAAATAAATTCAAAAGTTTTTTAATGTATGATCTGTGAACAACTTTGAAAGTTGGATTTGTAAAGCTTGGGAATATTGATGCTCGCCATAAATGCTTAATCAAACCTGGGTTTCATAAATTTCAATTCCCCATTAATTTCCAAAACGGAGAAAATTTTAAGTTGAGAAAATAAAAAATGGACTAAGAAGTGAAAATTATAAAATTTTTGAATAATAAGTAATACAATATCAGAAAATTTTTTTAGAATATTTACTAATAGGAGTGGAATTTTAAGTTATCTTGTAGTTAACATCTTTCGTTCAAATGTTAATATAGTTACTTTTGCTAAAAGGTTCGTACGTACAATTCTATTGGTGATATTCAAAATTAGCGACAAATTTTCTCAAACTTGAATACATAAAACTCCCTTCATAATGAAGAACACTCACCAGTGAAGGCATGCATATGACGTTTGAAAGCATTTGAAGCAAATAGCATTAAATATTTGTCTATTATTTAAAACAAAGTTCGAATTAATATTTTATATCATCCTGACAAGTAACTTTTTCAGTTGGCATTTATAGTAACTGAAAGAGTGACATGAAAGATAGAATGATATAAAAGATTTATTCAAATAACTGATTTACCTTCATTTGCATTAATTGTACTCAAAACTTTACCTCCAAAGACTTTGAAGTTTCAATTTCTTGACTAAAATAAACATCAGGGATGAGTTCATCAAAATTTGTCTTGTCTTTGATTAAACGAACTGTTCCCTTACTTTGTTTGATATCCTGAAAAATAGCAGACTTGACCCACTTATTTTGTTTTGATGCTTTTTTTAAAGTCATTACATTATTAATTCATTTTTATACTTGTTCATATGCAATAAGTTGCCGCCAAAATCCGATATTAGGCCTGACAAGAGGTCGGGTTTTCGACATTACATGATAAGCTTCTCGAAGCGATTTACACCGAAATTTAGTGAGATATGCAAGGCAGATAGTTGCAGACCGTGATATTCCAGCAACTGAATGAACCAAAACATTGCCACCAGCTGATATCACCGATTCGATCTGTAAATTATGACACAACGATTAAAACTATTTTAATTTTTTCCATTTCTTTAAGTTCATCTTTAATTTCAAATTTAATAAATGTAACTTTAATAGTTTTGGTCATTGAATTTGGGATTAACGCTAAATTAAATGTTACAGAAGGCATTTTACGCACTGAAAAATTTAACGTAATTTATGAAAAAAAAATTGATAACTTTTTTTAGTGAATAATTTGCTCTCAATTTTAGTTAAATGGAGAGTTTATTAGTTGATAAAAAATCCACCATCTTCACAGTGAAATTTTTTCTGCACATAGCTTTCATCAATGTCAGTTCAACTCAAATTTACCTTTCAAATTTTCTAATTAATTATTTTTTATAAACTGTCTACTCAATTCATCGAAACAGAAATAACATTTGAGTTGATTTTGTTCAGAAAGTTTGTCGAGAAGAAAGACAATACATTTCTTATCGGATGATTTAATCTCATTCGAAACCTTTGCTGTCTGTACAGTACTTTCATGCAAGTAAATAGCAAAAAGTCACCCACCCTTCGATGTGTTTAATAAGAAAAAATATACGAAAAATCTTTTTGAGATTAATTTTTCTCTCAGAAATTTGCATATTAGGTTGACCTTGAGTGGGGTCAGTCTTATATAACAACATTTTTTACAAAAAAATAAAGCATATTGCAACTAAGGCAATAATTTAATTTTGTTATGTTATTTTTTGGGCAAACCAAGAACTTACTGTTTAATTATGACTATTACAAATAATATATCTACACTATTTTGTACTAGATTAAATATTTATTTTTGTACATGTAATAAATAAGCGGTAATTAGAAGAGTATTACTTGATCAGTTTCTAAGTCAAGAATTGGATAAACAGAAGTAAGAGTGTTGTCTTGAAGCCATAATTTAATGCGCGGAATTTTTCCGAGTGCTTGTATATTTGGCACCTAAAAACAATGCTAAGATTTTGTTTTATAAACCGTTACATATATAAAAACTCCCTATTAATAATGAAAACCTTCTTGGAAGATAAGTGCTAAATATAAAAAGAATAAAAATAATAGTATAATAATGATAATAATAAT